TAATATAGGTACTTGAAAAAATTTAAAATATCAGTGTTTTATAGATTTGAAGGTTGTTTAAGCGAACCGTCAAATATAAATTGAAGAGGCAAGATAGCTTATTTGGTAGTTCACATAGAGAACGGTCAAATATAATAGATGTCAAAATAACCATTGAACACGGTCCTCCATCATCTGTTAAAATCACCCTCTAGACTTCTTTCCCAATGAAAGTTTTCCGTCATTAAATTATGCCATCTTAAAAACGATCTTCGTAAAGGTGAGGACAAAAGTTCATTTGTTTCACTGATCATCTTTATCCTTGTAATAAGTTAATCCTTTTGGATAAACGGAATCTATAATGTCCTCTATCTTGTTCCTTATATGCTTTTTTCTTATTTTAAAATTTAGTGTGTAGAGGAAAATATATAAAAATTAATTTAATAGATATAAAATATTAGTAAATTTAATCAAGTATATATAATACAAAATCTATATATGCTCTTTCAATCTTTTTTATAGGTCATTTTCTAAAAAAAAAAATTTAATTCTTTCTCTTGATTTTTGTAATATTTGATATACAATTTCAAAACTATCTTTTAACAAATTCTAAAAAGAAATGCAATATTTCAATTTCTAAAAAAATTCTTCACACACATCAAATCACTATTTTTAAAATCTAGGAATAAAATTAAAAATTTATTTATTTTTTAATAAAATTTAATTATTTTAACTGACTCATCTTTGTTTTGATGAGTTAGTTAGAAATGATTTATGAGAAAGTGTGCAAAAAATATGCATACATATAACTTTGATTTGTTCTATTACGTATTAAATAGTCATTCAATTTAACCACCATGACATAGTTCTATAGGAACATGTTAAATATACTCGCGTTTACTTCTAAGCCATTAATGTTACTAACTTTGGCCTCATAAAAAAAAAAAAATCAATATCATGATTTATAGTATGATATATTGGGAATAAATGATATTCCTTCTATTTAAAAATGTAAGATACTTTTAATCGAATCTCACCCCTCAATAAGATAGTTATCTACCTTCAAATTAACCCTATCTTTCTATATTTACTTTTATTAAACACTCTATAATAAATATGAATTCACTATCAATAGGGGCACTTTTGAAAAAAAGACAATAATTATGCATCAAAATACTAAAAATACTTTATATTTTTGAACATTTAACCCTTTAAAAAATACCTTATATTTTTTAATGGAGAAAATATATTATTTTTAAATACTCCAATCTGGGTTGTCCCAGAGCTTTTTTTTAAAATATGGATAGTCGTATATATCTTGTACGAATATTTCTAATTGATCATTATTTTATGTTGATAGGCTATTTTTTACTTTGTGGTATGAGAAAATGATTATTTCAAACAAAATGTAACACTAAATATCAATTATATATAAATTCAAAATCTGAAATATATAAAATATTTTATCTGTCAACTATCATTTACTATATTAAATACATTTTTCACAAATTTTTTTTATTTTGTGAGTTAATTAATTAATAAACTGAATATAGGTTTGATGGTAAATATTAATAGTTGTTTCACTAACTGGAGAGCAATAATAATAATAATAATTTTCTAATAACATGAAATATGCCGATACAAACTTTACTAATATTAAGATTAAGATAAGATAAGATCTATGTTCTTCTATAAACCCACGGTAAAAACAACCCAATCTTTTTTTGTGAAGAATTGATGGTTCGATATACCCTATATTAATTGACATTTAATTTTTTCTTTAAATCATTGAATTTTCCTTCCCAACAATGTGCAAGTTTTCCCATAGGTTTTTTTTTTTCCCCACACGATTCTTAAAAAGGACAAGTCGCAACCATTTTTCCCACATGAATTTAATGTGCATGAAATTTTTGCCAAATTCTCTCAAAGTAGATTCTCCAAGAATAATTTTTAATTACAGTTTCATTGCTTTAATGTACAATCAATATTTTTTTTAAACATGTATATTGCATTGTTTAGATGTAAAATAATGGAATGAAACAAAATAATAGGAAATGAAAAAAATAGATTTATTGTTATGGTCCTTGTATATTAGAGAATGAAAGAGAATATAAATATAAGAAACCTAATAAAAAAAGATTTAATTTTAGAAAAAAATGATAATAAAATCCTCTAAATTATATAAATGACAATCTAACCCCTCGAAATATTATAATTTTACTAAAATTTTTAAAAACTTTTGTATTAATAAATTTTAAAGTGAAAAGATTATTTTACCCTTATTAAAAATAACAAATTTTAGTCATAACTTTTATTTAAGAAATAACAATTTTTGTTCTGTGAATCGTAAGAATTAAATAAGAAATTATAATTTGTCAAATGTAATTTTTGTTATTAAAAAATAAGCTTTAATCATAATTTTTACTTAAAGAATAATAACTTTTATTCTATGAATAATAAAAATTAAATAAAAAATTATAACTTATTAAGTATAATTTCTATTATTGAAAAATAAGTTCTCAAAATAACATATTTTAATTATAATTTTTGTTTAAGAAATAAAAACTTTTATTCAAAAAATTAAATAATAAATCACAATTTGTTCATAATGAAAAATAATTTTTTTAATTTAAAATTTATGGACACATAAATTATTAGAGACTTTAATAAAATTATAGCATTTTGAAGGATTAAATTATTATTTATATAATTTGAGGAGATTTTATTGTCATTTTCTTTCAATTTTATTTATCAGAAATTTTGGTTACACATTTTAAAAAATTTCTTCACCATACGTCATTCCAAAACTAACACTCAATATAAGGAAAAGGACAATTTCAAAAAACTACTCATAATTCCATATGTATTCAAATACTCTAACACTCAATATAAGGAAAGGATAAAGCATTAGATACATAGTACTCTCTCTTTTTAAAAATATAAAATATTTTTAACTGAAACTCATTTCTCAGTAGTTACTTACTTTTAAATTAATACTATCTTTTTATATTTATTCCTATTAAATATCCTATAATAAATATAAAATCATTATTGATAAAAAACACTTTTTAAAAAAATATAATTATTTATTATATTTTAAAAGACTAAATTTACCTTACATTTTTAAACATTTAATTTTTTAAAAAATATTTTATATTTTTAAATGGAGGGAGTATATAATAATGAGATACATAATATGATTGAAAATTTAAATCATCTATTTTTTTAATTGAAAATTAAAAATTAAAAATTATCCTTAAAGGGCCAAACCCTAAAATTGACAGCCCTCTCCCCCTGCACGCCGCGTGCAAGTCATCGATCAGAGGTTAGACAACAGTATTAAATCAAGTGTCTGTGACGTAAAGGATCGAGTCTCCTTTTCTTTCTCTTCTTTTGTGAGATGTTCTTTCGCTTTTGTTTGTGGCTTGTGGCTTGTGGCTCTCGACGACTCTCTTCTCGCTATGCGTGTTGATGGTGATGTCTGTAGAGGGGATCTATTATCTCTTAGATTGGTGAACTGATGGTGAATCATTCAGATTTAGATTTCCTCAATTATATTATAATGGAGGTATGTCTACATCAAACTCATCAACTCTATTTTAGTTTAATTTAAATACGATATAAAATGCTTTATGGTTGTTGAGTTCATAGTACATATTTGATTGTAAAAGCTCTTCGTTAATTAGGTATCTATGGTGGCGATGATTACGATCTTAAGCTTCCTTAATCATATTGTGGTGGTGTCATTTTGCTCTTTGCCTTGAACTTTTTTTTTTTTGATCTATTTTTTTTTGCTGTTGGGATTTTATTGATTGGGTTAGATAGGGTTTCTTCCCCCTAGTTTGGGTCTAGATCTTTCAATTTGTGTTTGTTTTGTGTTTTTTCGTGTTTTATTTTGTTTGACTTAACGAAACTTAATTGACCCTATTGGTATTTGATTTTTATTTTGTGTGTGTAGTTAATCATGATGTCAAACGAGTCTTATGATGAAGATGAAGATGATCAAGTGGATAAAATCATCAAAACAAATCAAATTTTTGTAAATAAGTTATAATGGTGTAACACATTTTACGTTATTCTTTTCTTAATTGATGTAAAATATAATTTCTACATTGGTTAAAATTATGGGAGAATTATATGTAAGTCCCACTCAACACAATTAATTACTCTAAGATTCAATTAATTGTGTTGAGTGGGATTGTAAAGCAATTCTCTCTAAAATTACAACCAATGTAGAAAGTCAAAAATATTTTTTTTAAAATATAATTTTAGTTACTTTCTACACCGATTAGAATCACAACCTGTGTAAAAAAAGGTTTTTTTATATTGGTTAGGCTTCTAACTAGTGTAGAAACTCATCAATGAACCCACACTCAAATCCCAAACCCCTCGTAGAAGCCATCACTCTCCACTCCCAAATCGACAAACCATATGTTTTGGAAGTATATAATTATTTTTGCAATTAAGTGATATACATTTAAATTTAGTTTTGGACTTGTGGGTATACGAATCTAGTCTTTAAATTCTCAAAATGAATAGAGGAGGGTTTGATGGCTTTCTGTGTGTATTAATTGGTATTTTGCACCCTTAAACTTAACTTTCGTCATTATTAAAGATGTTGGTATTTATTCTCTCTGTTTACCTTTTACTGCTATGGAGCACATGCTATTTTATCAAGGACATTCACTATATTATTAAATATTTTGATAATATTTTAAATTAGATATTGATTTTTTGTTGCCTGTTGACAATATTATTGTAATTTCCGGTCATAGTATAGTTCGATTGTTTTTCTTAGTTTATTTACAGTCAATTTTTCCCAAAGAAGGGACCTTCTCCCTGCTGATTGTTTGTTATATAGAAGTAGAACAAATGGGAAGTGTGCAAGGATTGACTCCATGGCCATGGACATGAAGGAGAAGAAACTGACAGTAATAGAGGACATAGACCCAGTGGAGGTGGTGAGCAAACTAAGAAAAGTGTGTCTTACCAAAGAGCTTGGAGAAGAAGAAAGATCCCAATGAACAAGTTATAAACCTGACATGACTACATACTATCAGGTTCAAAGTGTTGATGAAGAGAATCTCAATGCACATGTTATTTCTTAATCTTCTTGTTTTTCACATTTTTCCATGTCTGTGCTTGTTAGTTGGTGAATATAGTAAGTAGTGCCTGGGAGTTAAGATGAAAAGTAGTGCTTGCAGTATTTTGACGTAGTGTGTGAATGCTTTTTTTGTCTTATTTTCCCATTTTAGCGGCAATAATGGAATTCTTAATAATTGTCTTAAATCAGAGAAAGTAGAAGGGAAAATTTCATTGCAGCCCCCTTGACCAAACTTATTGACAGTCAACCTCCGTAAAATTCTGAAGCGTCAATTCAGTCCCTGTGATTCCCACTTGGGCTAAATTGAAATTAAGTTTTTGAGGGAAAAAACAGTGACAGAAAGGAGAATGATTGGTTAATCTTAACAGGAGAGCATCCATTATTCTTAATTAATCTTAACAAGCTGTCTTATTTGCTGCAAATTGCATAACAAATAATCTTTCATGCATTGTTATACCCTGCTACACGCCCCTTTGTTCATCAACTTGAAACTATGTGTATCTTCCCAAACTAAAAATGCTTATTCAGGGTGTTCCTGTTATGTTGGCATCTAAAAATGTATTTGTAGGTGGATGTTGTGGATGTTATTCCTTATCCTCATGTAAGGCAATCCTTATCACCAATATATTGGATTGGTAGTGTCCCTAATTTGCCATCAATCTCCTTCATCCAAGGCTGATTAGTCCAAACATTTGGATCCTGTAATTTTATTATCAAGTAGTTATTAGTCTAGATTTTGTGATTTTACTATCAAGTTATTATAACCATTGGTCAATCCCACCTGTAATTTCCTTGTTGTTGAATGATTTTAGTTTTGAGTACAGTCCTTTGATCATCCAAGTTTGTGTCATGTTTTTAGATTCTGAACGTTTAGAACTATTGGATGTATCTATACTTGATTGAAAACAAAAACAAAGGTTATGGACTTATAGTTGCCTTTTCATGATAGCTAAGTTTTCTAGTGTAATTGCTTATGTTTAAATTAGACATGAATGGTTCTATCATAAAATGATTGGGGCTTTTTTTGGATTAGAGGTTATTTAGCCACCTCCAATCCAAAAAAAGAAAACAAATTTCCTATTTTTTTATTTGAAAAATGACACGTTTGGCACCGGTTGACATCAAAACAGGTGCCAAAAGTGAATTTGATTGATTTTTTTGATAACATTTTGTATCGATTATTATCACTTTCTACACTGGGTTTATACCCTCTGTAGAAAGTCACTTTTTATACCAGTCGAGTAACTAATGCTGAAAATGAAGAGATATTCGGTGTTGGTTCTAGAACTCGTATTGAAAGTCAATTTTAACAGATGCTGGAAGTATTTTTTATAGTCGTACTTGTTTCATTGTACCCAAAATAATTTTTTTTTTAGCATAGAGCCTATTTACTTCTATTAAGTTCTTTAAGCTAACTCACCATCATCTTCATGCAATACATTATTTTGCAGCTCATATACTATAATGATGACTTCACGTGATGTGGCATATGGCATATATAATGTTATGGGTTGGGTGGAAAGATTCGAGAAAGAGGTGTATATACGACTCTTCCAAAAAAGGTATCCTCATTATTTTGAAATCTTGCGGAGGCATGAATTTTCCAATGATTTCTTTGCTTCATCAATCACTTCATATGATCTGAGCGAATTTATCTTCGACAGTGCCAATTTCTCTCCCAACATCTTTGGTGTGTCGTCTAGCAGCATTGAAGCATCACACTCTTTCACAAATTGAGGTATTCATTATATTCAACAAACTATTTATTGTTTATAATTTTATACCTTTTAAAGATTTCAGTTTCATCTTGCATACCAAGTCTTTTCATGAGAATTAAACACCAGTTACACCATATAGGTAAAAAATTTAGATTGGAAAGGAGTGAAATTGTGTGAAATTTGAATTGAGTTAACTATAGACTATCAATTTGTTTTCGAGGAATTAATGTGCTATGATCCATGTTCCCTAATTAGGGTTTTCTTCATGACATCCTTGACTATCAATTTGGTGTCAAGGCATGTGCTATGATAAAAGCTAGGTTGGAGATTTGCAAAATTAAAATTACCGTCACAATATGTAGGAGAAAGAAGACAACTAGAGATATCAAATCGTTGCCAGGGCACTCATGTCATTGTAGAACAGAGAAAAAGAGGGACAAAACACCAGAGAGTTGGGGACAACACGGAGCAAGTGCATATCAACTATATTTGATCTTCACTTATCAAATCAACAATATCCCAAAAGTACGAATATTGAAAAGTACATTTTTAATTCTTCATTTAGTTTGATATATTGTTTACTCACAATTTATTACATTCTTCAAATTTGTTGAAGTTACATTACTCATTTTACTAATATGCAAATTTCTCTATCTTGTTGATATAATAGTTTAAAAGTGTTGGTGTAGTTTGTAGATAGATCACCAGAGATATTTAAACTCATCATACAACTTGTTGTGCATATGCAACATTGGTCATTATCCTTTCAATCAATTCTTCGTTTGTTAATTGATTATGGTTATTTAAAATTATGCCTGGAGGCCATGAAATTAGATGAAAGAATGTGTGGTTATTTCAACGTTGATTTATTATAAAGAATGGTCAAAACTATTGCCCTCTAATGTAAATTTTTGAATTGAAAACTTAACCAATAGACATTAGAGATGGAAATATAAGTTAACTCACGACTCGTGGGCTGGCTCATAGCGAGTTGCGGGCTAGGCAAGGTGGGTTGATATAACTTGCATCTTGTGTGGATTGTATTTCTACCAACCTACAGCAAGTTGGTGAGTTAGCATATATACATTTTTTTAGAATTTTAAAAATTACAAATTTATTATAATGTTAGAAACTTTATCTGTCATTAATTATTAGCATCACACAATTAAATATAAAAATATAATTAACATGTAGAAGTCCAGAAAGTAAAATTACATTAGATATTAATTTGACTAAATGTTAGCGGGCTAACCTGTTTTTTTTTTTTTGGCTAGTTGAGAAATTTTGAGTTTATTGAAATAAAATATAATAACAAAGATAATATAAAGAGAAATAAAGTTAGAATTTGTTCACAGCTTGACAACATAGTAACTCATATTCAAAAGTTGTTGAAGGGATTTGAAGGTTGATAAATAGATAATTTTAAATGACTCTAAAAATAATTCATATATCACTCAGGATGGCATTATTTCAAATGGCAGCACAATGATAAAGAGTTTGGTTATATTACTTGTGCATTCTTAGAAATATTTCACTTAAATTAAATTGTGAAAAAGTTTTTGGTTGGGTTCATGCTACACTAATGCACTTGTTTGGTTATGAATTTATAACTATTTTAGCTAATTAAATGTGATAGGTATAATAATAATAGTAGGTAATAAGCATGTAATTTGAATTATTTTAATAATTTGACTAATGACGAGGGTTTGAGGGAGAGAACGATCTTGCAATTTCTGTGTGTGTGTGTGTTTTTTTTTTTTTTAATAAGCAGGTCAACTTGCCAACCTACGAGTTAGCCCGCTGTGAGTTCAGGGTATGCAGGGCAAGCTAAAACTATTCTGCATAGAAATGAATCCATTTTTTTTCAACTCAAGCCAAATGTTTTTTGTAGGTTGGTGGGTTAAGCCTGTTGGCTCAACCTATCTTACCAATACTTCGACTCATATTACCATCTTTAATAGACATGTCTTGGAACATATATATGAAGTTATACGATCTCCTACTTTAATAATCCTAATAAAGGTACGTTTGTAATTGGTGCATAATTTATACTCTTTTCGTTTTAAATTATAAGACACTTTTAGATAAAATCTCACATACTAATGAATCTTATTAAATGTATTTAACAATCTTAATTTTTTTAAAAAATATAAATTTTTTAAAATATCTATTATTTAATATATTGAAAAGAAAAGTGATGAAAATTAATTAGGGAGAGAAATGATAATATTAGAATTGGTGCATTTAATGAAATTTTAATTTATTCAAAGTGTTCCATAATTTGGGACGAAAAAATTATTTTAAAAGTGTCTTATAATTTGAAATTGGGGGAGTACTTCCTAAAAGATGTTGGGACTTTCATTGAGATATAACAACTGGTCAATGCCTCGTGGATATCTTGGTTGGTTCAACAAGAGTCCATGTTTTTCGATCGGCAGCAGATTTTCTCATAGGTTGAGGAAGAGGATGTGGAAGTTGTAACATTGTAAGATTGGCGTTGACGCCAAAAAATTGGTCCCTGTCATGGACCATCATTGTCAAAGATCTAGAGCAAGCCATTGAACGTGGTCCTTCATCATCTTCACCGTCGTCTTCACGGAGAGGAGGATGTTAGGGCAAAATGGTTAGCAAGTAGAGTTTTAGAGAAGTAGAATTGAGTTCCTTGAGTTTGGGTGTAAAACCCAATTCCATCAAAGTCGATGGAACTGGATTCTCCTGGAAGCCTCTTTAGGCATTACCAATGCAAATAGGGATGACACTATAAACCTTTGTTTTCATTTGTATATGCTTCATATGATGGAGAAATATGCATATTTTATAATAAATGGGGCAAAATTAACCACGAAACATACAACTCAAAAGGAAAAGAAATTATGAAAAAAGTTTGTGTTCCGTTCGTTTCTTGACGAACCTTGCTATTTTATAAGAACTTTTACACAGGAGTATTGATATGCAGCATGTTATAAATTTTATACCTTATATTTATATTGATGAAGGAGAAATGTTTCTCTATTTGTTTTTTCATTAAATCTATCTCCTATAAATTTCTAAAATATATACAGAAATGTGTTTAATATATTTGGTATAATACGTACGCTCACACACACACACACACACACAAAAAAAATTAAAATTAAAGCATTATCTATCTTGTGAAATGTAAAGTTTATAACAAGCCATACTATTTGATAAACCATGCATATATATATATATATATATATATGTTCAGTTTTTTTCTTTATAAAATAAATTAATAGTGAAGCATGTTTTTTCTCTTCCTTTTTATTTGTAATCAACGAGGCCAACCTGCATGCCTAGAACAACTCCGAAAACACAAACAAACAAACGAAACGAAACGAAATAAAAACACTAAAGAACACAGCTGTCTGCAACTCACGATTCCATCATCCTTATGAAATGTACAGATTCCAAAATGAATGAAACAAAATTACACTAAAAATAAAAAACACAAAGGTTCATTTCAAATATTATTGAATATTGAGTGTAGTTACTTTGAATATTCCTTCTGGATCATGAGAATATCAGCTAACATTGTTGATTTGATTTCGCCGATCAGAATATCAAATTCAGTGTTGAGGTCGTTCAGCTTTTGCCTCATCTCTTCAGGCACATTACCCATCACTTCTTCTAAAAGAGGCAATATTGACCTCATCATCATCCTTGCTTCCTCAAGTATATCAATAACTTGTTCAAGTTTCTCACTCAGTGACACTTCCCCTTCTGAATTCTCTGTCAAGAACAACAACAACAACAAATTCAATTAAACACTCATCATTCTCAATAAATGGCAAAACTTAATCCAATGATATATAATATTAAATAGAGTGCCATCAATAATAATTTCATTAAAAAAATTCCCAAATAAATTAATGACTCATAAAGATACGTAAAGGATAAACTCTAATGATCAATGTTATTAAAGGGGAATTAATTAGTAAACAATCCAAGGGGTTTTAAAATTGTTGTGCCCAAAATCTCAGCCATACGTTTTATGGATCCTGGTAGTTTTTATAAATATATTAATAATATTAATATATTTATAAAAAATAATTGAATGATATAAAAAAATTAAAAATAATATTCCAACCCAATTTTGAGAATAAAAATAATGAAACAGTAAATAACTTGTGTGTGCAAAGTGTCTGGTTGACATAAATTGAATGATTTAAAAAAAATAAAACAAAATCATTGATGTGAAATTCAGAAAATATTAAAGCTGAAAACGACATACTGTTTGCCACATCACCTTCCATAGCTCCCATAGCTTTACCCTGCAGCTGCATATGAAAATTATTTTTATTCAAACCATATAAAATTTTTCAAAAAACAAATCAATTCTCAGATTGCATTAGAAAACTCAAAAAATCTGAAGGATTCATTGACAATCTTGCGTAATTTCTCTTCCTTCCTTTTAAGAAGATTGAGAGATTTTAATTAACGGAAAACACATTTTCTTGGCATCCAAACAACATCGAAATAAGATAGAATAATAATAATGATTCAAACTTTAAAATCTATACCTGAGAGAGAAGCAACACTTTCTTTGCATCCAAACACATGATCTAAGAATATTAATTCAAACACTTTCTCAATCAATTTTCTATCACTTCTGTATCTCCAGTTTGGAGTAATAACCGAGGTTCTTGATTTGAACAATAATGTTTGTCTTTGAAGATAGAATATTAATTCTAACTCAAAGAATTATAAAGCGACACAATTTCTTCGTGTCCAAACAGATTGCCTCAATTACTTTCATTCTCCAGCTTAGCAAAATTATTGATTTAGGGAGCACCGTGTTTGGATATCGAGGATAGAAAATTCAAAGCTCTGAAATCTGTTTCTCAAAGAAGCAACACATACATCAAAGAACTCGTTCTTCAGTTCTGAACTTTAATTCTCTTCAGTTCACAGCCTCAAAGACTAACACGAAATAGTTTCTTGAATTATCGCGTTTTTTGAACAATCGTGTTTGGCTTTCAACATAGAATATAACAATTTAAGAGATCTAATAATAACAGCAAAACTGTTTCTTGGCATCCAAACATATTGCTCTTCTACTTTTGAATAATAACAGCAAGATCATTAATTTGAAGACAGAATATCAAAGGATTATATGTAGAGCGAAGCGTTCTTCGTATCCAAACATATGTATTGCATCAGTCATCACTTTCTTTTCTCAGTTTGGAATAATAATAACGTTAACAGAGATTCATGATTTGATTGATAAGCCATGCATGTTTGGCTTTGAGGATATATAGTTTCTTGATTTAAGCTCTGAATTATATATCTCGAAGAAGCAACACCTACATTAATTAAAGAACTAGTTCGTACGTACCTCTGAACTTTTGGCCACTTCTCTTGAGCACTGTACTTGATCTCTTCAGTTCACAGCCGCAAAGCGAAACACCAAATAGTTTCTTCTGACCCCACTTATATAGATTCGTTTGTTGTGTGAGAGAGAGAGAGAGAGAGAGAGAGAGAGAGAGAGAGAGAGGCAAAACAAAACACAACCGCTTTTAACTCCTTTTCGTTAATACGGTTACACAAATTTAATACAATGAGTCCGTTATGGGACTAACTACACTCGTTAGATTGAGGTAAATAACTAAATGAATAAAGAGTGTGGTATAATTACAATAAATTAAATGAGAGTATTTGTTACATGAAAACTATTTTAGTCCATTCATATTGTTCAGGTTTATTTTACTTTTTTATGTGTAGACATGCAGATTATTAA